TTGGAAAGAGCAATAAATTTTTTATAGGGCTCTGTAAAATTGGTTCTCGTAACTTTTGAGGTTTCTAAGATCTTGAGCTTGAAAGTTGAAATTTAGTCGACATTTTGTCTAAAACTTCAAACTCGATTTTCTCAAAAACCGTAAACGCTAGCGATTCCAGCTAAATACCATTTTGAAGCCCTAGAGAAGACTCAAAAGCCTGTAATAGAAAAATAATGATTTTCTTATAAATTAAAAAAATCAATTTAGAAAACCCATTAATTGTGTGAATTCTCTCGCTTAAAACATACCTAACACAGAACCTAAAATAAGAAAAAAAAATTTGATTGTAGAATCAATTACATATTTGAATTTTGTGCAAGTAAAAACATTTTAATAAAGTCATAGTACTGCTTAGTACGGCCCTGACCACCCAGACTTCTTGGGGAATATTGGAATATTGAAAACAGACAAATATATCTTTTAAGAATTTCTTGGTCCCAACTTGCAAATTCGAGTTGTTCACTTCAACTTAACTCTTGGGGAAGGGACGGCCTTTCTCTATTGTCCACCCTTCGAGTTTATGATTTATGGCCTGGGGAAAATACTGATAAGGATTTTGGTTTTCGGCTGTAGAAATCGGCTACTTTGAAAAGAATATTTTATTTATGAAAAAGCTAGAGCATTAATAGGAAGAATCGGTTGAATTTAAAGAGGTCTGAAGCCATTTCGAAAACATCTAAAATTCTGAGTTATTTTAAAAACCACCAAATGGTCCAAATTTGTCCTAAAACTGCTCTAAACGTGTGTGGTCAAAAGAAGATACATTTGCTTTAATATGTACATATTTTTGAAGGATATCCGGAGTTATGGCAAATAAAATCAAAAATATACAGGGATAGGGCCAATCATTCTCTTGGTTTGATCGATTCACGCATATTTGTATCCCATTTTGATATTTTATCTGAGATTAATTGTAACAGAAAGTTGAAGTAGGTTTCTGACATACGTAGAAAATTTTTAAATTTATTTGGATCTTCACTTGTTAATTCATCTAATAACATCGCGTAAGCACCAAGAGTAGGGCTTCTGGCTATCCATTCTTTAACTCATATTCTTTTTCAGGTCCTTTTCTTCCCTCTTTTCGTGACATTGTAATAATAAAAGCAGCTGCAGCTCTTTCTCTACGGCGAGACATTTTTTTCGCACTAATTTTCCGTACAAATCACTAAATGCTACTATACCGTGTATACACGGGAACAATCACTTGCTAAAGTTAATGTCTAGAGAGCACTTGCTGAGAGAAATTGCATTTAACAATTTGCGTAAATGTATACTATGTAGCCTGTTTAGTACCTAATTTATGTATGTCTTTTTTCAAAGAAACTACTTAGAATTCCAAGTCACAGTGCTGAATATGGATCCTACAGGAAAAAAAGATTGTTAAACAAATAATTATTGTCAAAGGAACAAACGATCAAAACCTGATTCGGAACATCTACTAGATGAGCATCAGCAGCCGAGACAGCATCTTTTCTCTAGTTCTACGCTTATTTGTATTACTGAGAAGGCATCTTACTTGGCTACTCAAGATTCTTTGAAGATTTGTATCAGATACATTCTACCTGAACAAATTATGAGCACGCATTGGCATTAGACTCTTCAGAAAATGGAACTTTCCAGGAAACTGTTGATGCAAGTGTTAGATGTTTTACAATTTATAATTCGAGTAATAATTAATAAACCAAAGGAAAAATATTTCCCACTAGTTTATTTGTGGGATGTTGGATGTTCTGTGCATGTTTTTCGTATATCGCACAAAAATCCTGAATATACTATGTGGGATGATTGAAGATATTCCAGGAATGATTTATCAGAACATTCCTAGTAAATCCATTTTGATGACAAAAGCGTCTTTTGGAATGTTCCAGGATTTAAATAGAATCTTCCAGGAATATTCTGATTGTCCCAAATAAATATTCCATGAACATTCCTGGAATATTTTCAGTGTTATTAGGGAAGGTGTTTATTTCGCATTTGAGATAATCCATTTAAAGTCCAATCCTACAAATTTGGAGGATTGGATTCAGTACTCCGATCCGCATAAACTCTCTAATCCTGGGTGTTTATTCCAGGATTATTAATCCCCATTGTTGATCGAATCCACTTAATATCCGGATAAAACGAATGAAATAAACGTAGTCACTATTAAGTTAAAAGTATTACCTACATAAAATCGTATTCTGAAAATGTTTAGGCCAAAAAAAATTGATATAAAAACGTGGGGTAGGTACACTCTGTATACAAAATCGTTTAGATGTACAGGTCATGTTTACTACAATTATTTATCTATGAAAAAATATTGCTGCCTCTTGCTAATTTCCGTCCAAACCCCAAAAATTAGTTCGGTGAGCATCTAATCAAAATCGCATTTTCAACTTTTCAAACACCCTGTATCTCAAAAACTTATCATAGGATTCATTTGTGTCCATATGGACAATTTTGATCAGGACCTCAAGAAAAATAACATAGGTACCAAAATTTCATCAAATTTGACCGGGCACCAAAATCAAATCCCATAAGATGTGTGCGCGGTCCTTTGCATTATTTTATGAACAAAAAAAGATGTGAGGAAAAATCGAAAAACGTTTAGAGGGATGAACATAATAATCATTCGAGTATGCCTAGAAAAAATAAATAAAAATAATTGTAGAAATGGGGTGGCAACAAAAATTTTGTACTTTTACCGCACTTCCTATATCACACTGTTTAAAAAAAAAAACACTCGAATTCTATATTTTTTTGTGTAAAGTAGATGATTAACAAGAAATCGCTTTCAAAAATGGTGAAAACGGCATATTTTTCTGTTGATTTATTATAAATCTACCCATCACCTTTTCACATGATACTCTAGCCGTGAATCAGACTTTCTCCAGAACATTGATTAAAAGTCAGTGGCGTATCTACCGGTGTGCCATGTGTGCGAAGCACACAGGCCCGGCCCCGAAAGGGGCCCGTGAGCTCCACATCGAAACCGCAAAAAAATGTTTCAAAAGATAAAAGACTTAAAATTATTGTCTTTTTATTTTTTTGCTTGTATAATAATGATTAATGTATGGACAATAGTCTATCTACGCGCAAAAAAATACCGGCAGCGATATAGTATTTTTATTCTGACATTCTGACTTGAAAGACTGCATTATACAAGGATGTTTCAACATCACGTCGCTCTTCTTCTATTAATTTCATAGAAAATCTATTGTAAGTTTCCCTCCTGTATGTACCGGGTGATTGTCTATATTTTGCACCCACACCGTTTCTCGCCTGTTTGAAGAGATACCCAGAAATGACAAATGTGAAAGTTGTAGGTGATATCAGAAGGTTTTCAATGAAGTTAGTTACAAGTATATACAGTCACAAAAGTATGGTAAAGCAAAGTTGAACTTTTTTAAATGGAACACCCCCATTTATTATTGACACATTGGATTAGCTTTTTGAGCCAGATTCCAAATATACTAGGTTTTTTAGATTTATTCCTAATAGTCCGGGAGAAAATAAGAAAAAAAGGGGCGAAATAATTGCATTTTTATTGAAAAAGGTGAAGTATAGAGACCACCAGCAAACTATAAAGGTAGGTAATCATTCAATTAAAAATCCATATTATTTCTTCCAAATGGGAAATTCAGAGGCTGGACTATGAGGAATAAACCTTAAGAACCTAGTATATTTAGAATCAGGTTTGAAAGGCTAATCCGATAGGTCAATAATATACGGGGTGTTCCATTAAAAAAAGTATAACTTTGCTTCGCCACACTTTTGTGATACACCCTGTATACTTGTAACTAATTTAATTGCAAAGTTTCTAATATTATCTAGAACTTTAACATTTGACATTTCTGGGTATCTCTTCAAGCAGGTGAGATAGGTATGGGTGCAATATATAGACAATCACCCGGTATAAAATATAAGCAGCGACGAAATATCGCTACAGTAGCCCAAATTAATAATTTAAGTCGGCATGTGCCTATATAGGTTTAATTATTGGGGTGGGCAACTTATGTCTTCCCGGGAACGATGTAGGTGCTAGGTGCAACTGTTGACTAGACTACGCGATTTCTATAACCAGTGTTATCCCAATTTATATATAATTTGCTATTTTATTCCACGTATTATTTAGTTGTGTTGTTTGATATTAATTATCACCATTTAAAGAAATAAAATTTATGTGACGCCCATGCCCTTTTTTGTTTGATGTATGCCGACTAGAGGTTTTTCACGTGTTTCAAGTCGGATTAAAAATACTATACATAGTTATTCATACCAATTTCGAAAATAATGAATTGAAAATTTAACGTTTAAGGAAAAATATACCTAAAAAAAAATTTAGGAGTGTTTTTCAACGACTTTTGGTTCAAAATTTTGGCGTGGCACCCAAAAGGAGGACCTGTAATGTGCCCGAGGAGATTTTGGCGCACAGGCCCGGAGCTGGGTTGATACGCCACTGTTAAAAGTAGAAGCTTTATCGGTTTTGGAGCAGTATTTTTTCCTATTTAGATGTGTCTCGAGAGGGATTTAGGTAACATGTGAAAGAGCGATGGGTGAAATTTTGCATTTTACGTGCGATATTTCTCCAGAAAAGAATAATTTATCGATGAGAATTGAACGAGTGAGGCAGCAATGATTTTAGGAACTAATAGGGCTTCAAAGCTTAAAGTGAATGATCCAAGTCTTTTTTTTAAAAAAAAAGATGATTGTCGGCCAAAGACGAAACGTCGGATTTCAAATTTGGCTGCACCGTCGTGTAGAGGGCCTGTTCTGCATAAAACTTCTATTCTCTATTTTTTTTTTCTGTTCAATCGAATTTGGTACAAAATATGTACCTATCTATAACTTTTTAATATTTTTAGGGCTAAACTCATCTATTTTAATTAGGTAGCTTAAGCCTGACTCCCACCCCATTTAAAATCCGCGCCGATATATTACGTAAAGAATGCCGGTTCACGTCGATTAGATACTTTCATTCCACCTTCCACTCAGCTTATCATCCTTTCGGTACTACTCCGTACTCGTGGAGCTACATTGCGCCTTGCGCCTTGCACGCTTACTCGATTCATCGAACGCGCACCGTGTGACTTGCCGATTGATTTCGGGCCCGGCAAAATTAATCGAAATTGCAAGGGAATACATTTTGTTACCTCAATTTTTTCTAAATTGTTGGCGATGCTGGCTAAAAAACTCGCTTGAGGAATGTTATTTGGAAAATTGGATCAAGTGGATAGTTTTGGTGCTAATCGAAGTGTGTAGTAACATCACCAGTGAGTGGAGAAAATTGAATTGTGCGGTGTACTGTGCTATAAGAAGTGCACTAAGATTCCTTTTCGTATTTAGCGGTGCCTATTTTGGTGAGTTTATTTTTTATATAAAATCAAAACTTAGATTATCCAATTCATTACAATACAACCGGACACATTATATGAATACATGCTACTAAGAATTTTTGGACATTAAAATACAAAAACCACGCAGAATCTAAAAAAAAAACTGCAATAGCCGAATCGCTGTTAAGTTAGTAAAGATTCCAATTTTGTTAATAAAAACTACCCGCAATACCAATACGCCTATGTCTTATTCCAGGGTGATTCCGTCCTACATGTTATTCTGGTTTTGTGATACATCAAAAAAAAGCATTTGCATAAGTCAGATAATCTTATATGGCTGTAATTAATTTGTCTTTGTAGATGATACTTTCAGACACCAATATCAATGGATTGGCCTTACCGAAACCTAAATTCAAAATTCTCCCGCATTTCTAGTAATCAGTTGAAAGTTGCTTGATAAATTTGCAACTGTTTTATTAGAAATTAATTCAAGTTTTTGAAAGTCTGGATTTTCACAGCAATATTTAGGTATTGAAGTTAATTAATACCTAACTCGAAACCGGATGGTGTTTTTGTTTATTCGCTTATTACATAATTGAACAACCCAGTAAATACCTCTAAAGTTAGAGAATTGATTGCTCATCCTTTTAATGTAGATATACATTTAGTTTTCATTATACTTTAGCATATTTCCTCTATCGACTATCTCTACAGTATAGTATAAATATTTATTTTGTTATATCTTTAATAATAAAAAAAATTAACATTACTTACCTATTTTGTTTGCTTTTAAGCAAATAGTTTAGTTCCTAGCAAAATCTTATGTAGTAGGTTCTCCCTGATTTTTAATTTAAATTTTATTAAATAGGGATGTCCTTGTTTTTGGTTTTTGTCGAAACACTCAGTATACAGTGTGTCCCACTTTTCATGAATACACCCCGATATTTCATTTATTAATAATGCGATTTTATTCGAATTCCGGTGGTGATTCCGTGCTAGAAAAATGAACTATTTGACATACTTAACATTTTTATTTACCATTGGCGTGTGGTTTTCGGGGGTAAAAAGGAGTTGCATTTTTGGAAAAAGAATATTATATATTATTTTGATATTATATTCAGACGCTTAGTTTTTATTCATGCACAGCATAAAAAAACAGGTTCCCTTATCGATTTTCATGAAATTTGGCAGAAAATAACGACATCTTATAAAACAGCTGGAAAAGTGACAAAGGAGAAGTGCGATTTATTTTCAAATGAGGAAAAAATTAGGAAAAAAAATTCGTTTTGGGCTCCGGAAGACATCGGAATTTTTTTTAAATTTGAAAGCTGATGCATTTTATTGAGGATGGAGTTGTGCAACTTTTCACTAATTCAATCGACCTCGTATCTCTCTTTCAAGATCCCCATACTCTTTCAAGATCCCCATACTATCCTTCCTTATCTTGGACATATTTTATATCGATGTTGAGTAGCTTACTTTCGACTCTTTCGGTAGGTATTTTATGAGATGTATCTATGCATGTTTGGAATAGGTTTTCTCATGCTAAGCTTAACATCCACTAAATCCTAATCCCCTGTTCACATTTACATTCTTTACCCCTGGGTCATGATCACGCCACTTCTGACTCATCATATCCGATAAGTACGTACCGAGTACGTACCTATCCTATTTCTTTCTAAAATTAAGTACATATAAGAATACAAAAGTTTATTTCTATTTACTACCTAATTACCAATGTACTTATTTAAATACCTGAACAAAATTATTCAATTAGGGTAGTAATGAAATAGAGAGGAAAAATTTTATTAGGTAGGTACTTAGGTATAATTAATACTGGTCATATTGTGTTGACACTTTTTCCCATCAAGTAACATATTAAAATGTTTGAAAGTATTCAGTGTTTTTTCCAGTTTTTGGCCATGTTCCTGTTAATCTTTACCAAATACCATTATTATCTATGGAATTAATCGTACCTAGATAGTCAACTAAAATATTTTCCATTATTTTTTGGAAAATTTCTGGGTCGCAAGACTCGCAAGTAGGTAATTTCGAACACAAGTCTTTTATATCTAAAAATCTAAGCGCGAAATTATTGAAACTATTCTTAACTGGGGTACCAAAGATTCCATAGTTGGTAACGGATCAGTTCCTTCAAACTTTTGCATTTGCCGATTCACAGATTCCAATGCATTGACCACTAGTAGATGTAATATCATTTAGCCGTAATGACAAAATGTTCCTCCTTAAGTCCCTTGACTAACATTTTTCGGTAATCTGAACAGAAAGATGTTCCTCCTGCCTCCTGGTTGGTGGAAAGAAATTTAGCCGCTTGATGTCGCAGTCGGACAAGAAACATCAAATTTTTCATCGGCTGTCTGTTTGATTATACGAAAGATATATTGTTTGGGTAGAAAATTGCTGTCAAGCTTATCCAAGGTGGCTACGAAAACGACCACATCTTGATTACCTTCTACAATGGGGTCTACACCAGTGTTGCCAGATGACCAAAACCAAATTATGGTACAATGCTGTAGAAATTATCGTTTTTTGCATGATTTTATCGAACAAAACTGACTTTACCAGTGTGACGTCATCGGAGGCTGGTGGCTCCTTTAAATTGAAGGGGTTAGGTTGTATTTACAAAATAATTTTAATAAAAAAACATTTAGAAAAAATATAAAAGAAAAAAACTAATCATTTCTGTTATCCCCTACACCTTGTAATAATTCAAGCTTTTGAAAAAAGAGCTGGTATTTCAATTTTTAATGGAGGTCAGCGATTTCAGTGTATTTTTTCCAAAATTTATCAACATTCAGAAATTATCGTACATTTATCCATTATCGATCGTACATCGTACCCTCTTGTAATTATCGTACAAATACGATAATTATCGTACGTCTGGCATCACTGGTCTACACCTACTCTTGGCAAGCTGTAGAAAATCTCTTGCAATGTCATGCCTCGATAATCAAGAAAAACTGCTCGCTCTTTAACTGCATCGGTAATGTCAGGAACAGAGAGGTAGATTCGTAAGGCTCTCTTCCATTTCTCCCAGCTTGTTCCTAGGGAAAATGGGCTACCTTCACATTGCAATTGTTCAATTCCTGGAATACCTATGCGCCATTGCCTGAAATCTTCTATCATTATAGGTCAAACACTTACTTATAACATTCATTCCCTAACTTACTTTTCCTCGTCGCCAATGTAATATACAACAATATTTCAAATAAAACTCTTATTCACCACATAGGGTTTTTGTAAAATGTATAAGGTCTCTAAATATTTTACCTGGCCCATTTTTCAAGAAGCTACATTGGCTTTAACTACTTCCTTTATTACTCTTATCAGTGTTAATGCGGTTTTAATGTTTTGTCTTTTATATTTCCTTTGAACTCTGCAAGATTGTCTGTCGGTAACTCGGTCGGTAATTTTCCAAAATACCCTTGACTGGGGATTTATTGTGGTAATAATAATATATTTAGTTTTAGTGTGTGATTTTAAGGAATCTCCAACTTTCTGCGTTTCATTCTTCTCCCAGATGAGTAATATTATGCGTACAGCTTCTTCTCCACGATTCGTTTTTTTGTCTGTACTACATATTTGATTTCATATTTCTGCTTGTGCTTTATATATTTCTTTGCCTCCTATTTTCTGCTGTCTCTCTTGATTTCTTTGTCCGACCAATTATATGTTTTTGTTTTGTCTTAGTCTTTTCTTATTTGCCTAGGGCTTTAGATGCAGCAGTATAAATAAATACTATTTTTGATATGCTGCTGGTTTTGCTTTTCGAGGTTTTGGAAGTTCAGATTCTCTGTAATTTTTGGTTTACCTTTTTTATGTATGACACCTTCACGCTTTGTTGCCTTTCTTAGGGGAATAAAGTTCTATTTCTTGGCTTCTTGTCTCTTCTTGTTAAGTTTTAGTGCCTCTTGCGATTTTTTTTACGCATAATATGCTTTCACATCCTGGAATTTTATGCATGAACTTTGTTTTGCAAGAGTGTAGTCGATAACTTTTGTTGCCTTTTTTCATTTTCCACTTGTAATTATATACAGGGTGTTCCGAAATTAATGCACCAGATTTTTATGGCATATTCTACGTCGAAAATAAGCCCTAGTTTCGTATATAAACATATTTCCGGAAACGCTTCCTTTCCGAGATTGTTGAAATTCTAAGAAAAAAACCTTTTTTTATCATAATTTTCAAACCACTCTAGATATTTCATTGAAATTTTGTGCACTGCTTTCAAGCAGCAAAAGACATTTTTTGATGAGAAATATTTTTGATAAAAATTACCAGTGACGTCACAAAAATAATTTGAAACTTAAGGCGTTTAATGTTAACATCATAATTTTGGCGATTTCGCCATGCATCAACATGGTTTTTTATTTTTTCACTTGAAAACGGTGCATCTATCGGGAAAAAGTGAAGAGATCAAGTTTGTTCCAAATTGAATGGGGATTTCAAAAATGATGTTTATTTTAGGAAAAAGCAGTTGCGCTCTTTTTTTTTCTTAGAAAACATTCCATACAAATCTGTTTCGGACGTCACAGGTAATGTAAAAAAAAAAAAAAATTACATCAAAATAGTACATTAAAATACAAGTTTCATAAGACGTCATTTTATCGCACGCGAGCCCTATATTAGAAAACGAGCCGTAGGCGAGTTTTCTAAAGGGCGAGTGCAATAAAATGTCTTATGAAACGAATATTTTATACTATTTTTTCTATTTTGGTATTCTTTAATTAAAAAAAAACAAATTTTTCTTGGAAATTTTATTCTCATATTTCCTGATTTCATATGTTTAGATTGGTAACACTACATGCCAAATATAGAATTAAATGTTCTTTAAAATCGCGAATGACAGTTCGATGGCCATCAGTCAGCCAGTGTTACCAACTTCCGATAAGTAAAAAAGGAGTGTCACAAAGAGCTTCTTTTCGAAACTACTTTTAGTGTCGAAAAGACTTCGATATGACACCAAAATAGAAAAAATGTCTTTTGCTGCTTGAAAGCAATGT